TGACCAGTAGTTTTTGATAACAGGATCCTACATCAACTCTTCCCCCAAGGGGTACCATTTGGAGGGCTTAGTTCCAATATCAGGTTAAAAATATTCCAGCAACTGTCGTTTTCTGTTTCCAAGTGTCAACACATATTTTAATTATTAACAATTCAACCTGCTTTCAAACAAATTTTTCATCCGAGTACTCTGCATAACCTAGTCCCTTTAAATATTGCCTTTACTACTAGTTTCTCTCAAGTAATGATTCTTTACAGTTCTTTCAAAAAAAAAAATGATTCTTTACAGAATATGTAGGTTATGTAATAAATTCAACTGTGCACTAATGATGCATTAATAATGTAGTAAAGAATGGACGCAAAAATGATACAGGCACAAATACAGGCCAAAACAAACTCATCAACCAATGTTTGCAATAAAAGAAACTGACAACTCACAAAAAGGCCTTTAAATATCTCCCATTCACCAAAAGAATATCATATAATCAACCTTCAGAGAGAATAGGTCATGAGAAATGCACCTTTGTACATATCGTTTCTACATTTGTGGCTATTACACTGAGCATGATACTGCCTTGATAATGAAGCTTATTAACCAAAGAGAAGATTCCATTTATGGAAGATATCAAAACTATATAAAAGAGATCAAAGAATTTCAGTTGCATACCTAGAGCAAGATTCAGAGCTTTCATACTGATAATAGCGCAAGAGTGGCAGAACAGCATTTGGTAGACGTCTTTCTATCCCTTGCTTGTTTGTTGAAAAATCGTCAATATCATCTTCAAGGTTTGTGCCAGAGGATTCTCTTCTGGCTGCAACCATCTCAGGTTCATGATCAATAGGAGCAACAGCCCTATCTTTACAACCCTTTTTCGACAAATGAAACTCTGCTTCAAACTTTTGATCCTCTATATTACTCCCATCATTGATTACTCTTTGAGTTGTAGAGTCTTCTAAACTTCTTTCTGCAGTTCCAGTTATTGTGTCCCCTGAATCTCCATGGTCCCGTGATGAAGCATCCGAATGCTCTTCGTTGATGTAACCCTCAAAGGTTTCTAAATCTAAATCACCAATGCCTTTCATCAACCGGTCCAATCTTTCTTCCGTGAAAATGCTACATGAAAACAGTGAAGTGTCAGGATGAGTTGACATGAACAGCTTAAATATATCGCGGAATCCTCTCCAACAAAACCAATATAGCCATGTAGGGCCTAGAATATCAAAGTTAACCTTGAATAATAGGAGATTCACAACTTAAAATTACAGTCTTTGATCAACATAAAAAGCCTAAATTACAGTCTTTGATCAACATAAAAAGCCTAACGAAGATATTTCATAACCATGAAACATGCGAACTTCATATGAATTTAATAGTATAGAAATTTGGAAAACAAAAGTACCAAGCTGTATCATTTACCATTCCATTCTTCTCTTTTGTGGACATAACAAAAAGCATCCATATTTTATTGGCACAAAAACCAAAGATCATATCCTACAACCAGTATACTGTGTCTCATTACAATTATCTAAAGTTTTCATACAGCTTGAAGTTTCCCTATTTTTTCTCCCTACTAAACATAGAAAACCAAGGATGCCAATAGCCACCTGTAACAGCCGCCTTTTTAAGCTGATTCAAGCTTTGTTTAGAACCAATATATCAATTCATGCATCTGTTTGCAATAACCATTTACAGAAACAAAGTAAAAATAGTTAAGTGAAACAGAATAAACATGCAATTTTGATGTAGGGCAAGCTACATATGATATGAATTGATACAGTACAGGACAGAAGAGGATTGTCGAGTTGGGGAAAGAGAAGAACAGGGTAGGAACACACACGAAGTAATAAGCTCAAGGGGGCGATCGAGAAGGAATATAAGAGGTAGAAGCACAGAAATCAAGAGAAAAGGGGATAAATAAAATAGGAAAGAACCAGAGAAAGAATAAGAACAATATGACTACTGAATAATACTCAACTAGACCTACCCTTAGAAAGTAGGGGCTAGCCACAATCACATAGCAGTAAAATCAAAATAATAAGGAAAAGAAAAAGCTTATATATCATAAACAAACTCAAGATCTCCCAAATCTAACTAATATTACATAGATAACCTAAATAACCCAAAAACAAAGAATATACTAAATTAACATATTTATTACATAAATATTTCATAATATTAAAACATTCCACTTCAACCTCTTCTCATTCTGGATCAGAATTCACCCCAACTTCTAGCTTATAATTTAGACAGCATCATATGAAAGGCAACCAGAGAACATTTTATAATTGCTGCGAGCACAGCTTCGATCATTCAAAGCAAATATGTACGCACCTATTTAATATACCAAAGTGCAGTTCAAAAAATGGAAGCCTCGAAAGAATGCAATAACATCTGCGAGTGGTCAGAATATGACGGCTCAAAGATGGGCAGGTAGGTTGTTTATTTGAAATCATAGAAAGCAACCCGGATGGTCTTTGTAGTATTTCTTCAACTAAGACACAGCACCCGTACAAGGTTGAGTTACCAGCAACCTAAGGAAACCACTTAATATAAAATTAGTCATCAAAGAAGTGAGGAAGATCCTAAGATGTAGTTTCAGCAAAAGAACAAAATGATCCAGTACTTCCTAGGTCCTTCCCCAAAAAATAAAGAAAATTACTGCTGAAATGGCCAATGCAAATTAAAGCAAAGCAGATTATTTTTAAGCCTTAAAGTGAATCCTACAAGTAA